AAAAAAATGCTCTGACCATATAGATAAAGTATTTGGGGGCTGATTTCCTCAGCTGTTCCAACTGAAGCAAGTAAAACCCAACTGCTTTAACCCAAGAGGTACCAGTACTCCCATGTTCAGAGGTACCTGAATGGTGGTGAACTGGTCTACCGAAGGCTACTGAACCCACTGTAAGAGTGGGCATAATGTGATAATGTGTGTGGTCTCTATCGCAGCTTCTTCTGCAAAAGGAAAAAAAATGATAATAACAAAAAGGACTATTGTGTGCACATTTATTTTATACATACCTATATATTTACTTTTCCTGTAGACTGTATACCACCAGTAAGAAAGAGTGTACAAAAGTCTGTTACTTGGTACACTATCCCACCAACAGTATAGCTTTTGACTGCTTTCCAAAAGGTAAGAAAACAATCTAATTTTTATTTATTTATGTGTTCTTGTCTACATTGAAAACTAGATATGTTTCTGTGAAATCTGTGCATGACTACCTGTAAATCTATTTGTATGAAGAAATGCATTATCAAAGATGATCTGATAAGCTTAGTGCCAACAAGTGCCATTGGTCACGTGCCTTGCTGATTTTCTGGAGAACATGTTTATGGGCGTGTGCATATGCATCTTTCCTGAACAACAGCCAATAATTGTAGAGAATTGGTGCCGGTCACTGTGACACATGCTCTACTTTAAAATTACCAGTGGTAGGAAATTATTTTTCCATGTAGGTTTTCACATTCTAATTTTGAAAGGCAATGTGGAAAACTTACAGGGAGAGAAGGGGGATGTTTTACAAGCCTAGTAAAAATGTTTGTTGTAGTTTATTTTTATTAAATACATTCAAAGAAATGTACACATTCTCAGATTGTATCTATTCTGGAAACAATGAATGGCTCCACCGTCTTAAACCCAAGATTGCCTTGGTTTCTTTTTTTGCAGCAAGAAAATAGAGAAAGGTTTACTGGCTGGGCTTGGTATTGTGCTGAAGATTATTTGTGGCTCATAGTTCTGCCTTTGAGAAATACCAACTTCAGTCATTTCACAGAATCAGAGAAAGGGTCAATGAAAGGCCACAAGGATCTAAAGAAGAGCTTCAATATTAGTCAAACCTAGGAATTACAAATAAATACCAAGGGTATTCAAACGAATAGTTTAGAGAAAATGATGAATTGTGTGATATGGGAAGTGGCTGCATGAATGGACTGGCGTAAGAATAATAATTGATTCAACATTGATATTTATATATTAAGCATCAACAAATTCTCACTAAAGAATATGCTAAGCTCTGAAAGGATATTATTATTATTATTATTATCATCATCATCATAATCTTCCTGTTTTGGTGTAAGCAGTAGTAAAATACAGTGGAAAACAGCACTCGCTTTGGCAAACACCCTTGTCCAGCTGGAGTCAGGACATTCCAAACTGTGGGAAAATAAGCAGTGGAGAACATGGAGTAGAGTTATTAAAATCACATGATGGCTTTGAATAAAAGGTTCTCTTTTGATTTCCTCTAAACCTCCTATTGTGCTTATAAATAGATAGAGAGACCTACCTCTGGAGAGATCCCAAGAGAGTAAGAAGTGAGGTCGTATTGTGGGAGGGGGAAAAGTATTGCTTAGTAATATCAACTGGTCTTTCTCTTTGTCAATAACATGGGATTTTATCAGATCATATCTCTGTTTCTTCCCATCTTTATTTTATAATGATATTCTGAACACAAATCATATCTTGCTCTTTTTTTTTAATCCATTTAGCACTATAAGACAGGACAATAGTGCTTTCAAAGAGTAATTACA